CGAGCTAAATCAAGATATTTGTTTACTTTATCTTTTTCAGCTTTTACAAGGTGGTCGTCATGGGGGGCAGCGACATCAACAACTACTGCACGGCGTTCGTGTCGATCTATCAATACAAAATCGGACATAACAGCCACAATAGTCCTCTCTGTAATGATAGATCGATCCCAATACAATGTGGCATGGCTATTTTCAAGAATCTGTTCTGGAGCATACCTGTAGTAAGGAACCTCGGATGCTAAAAGATTGTATTCCAAAGCAAACTGTTGGTGTATTATCCTGGCCACTTGGTTATGTCTGTGCAAATACTGGCCATTTGTGGCACGAGAACAACCGGAGATTATATGCCTAAGGGATTCACCTGGGCGATGGCATGCACGGCAAACATCCAATGTGCCATCCTTCAGTATAAACCTCCGGTAGTTCTTCGTCATCACAATTGACAAGACAAAACCTTCGGTTTCACCAAAAAGGTCACCGAAACGTATCCAGGACACTGATGCTGATAAATCTACGTCAGGCCCATGGAGAGCCCGGTAGAATCTGCCATGCAACTCCTTGCTTTGCCATACAATGCTACGATGCAAAGTACTAAGTACTACAGGCTTGCGCCAGTTTTCTTTTGCTAAAAATAGAGGAGTGAGTCCATTGTCAACAGCAACTACATCTCTATGAATCCCCATATCGACGTTAAGAAAATACTCCCTAAGATTGTTTATCTCGCGGTTATGTATGGTGTAGAATGTCTTGGCATTTAGGAAGCCACGACCACCACACTTCCGCGGCATATACAATCTCATAGTCGAGGAGCGTGGGTGATGCATACGGTGTGCTGTTAACAATGTACGAACTTTTCTGTCCAAGGCATCAAGTTCAGTTTGAGTCCATTTAAGTATGCCAAAGGAATACATCAATAGCGGCATTACCCATCCATTATATGCACGAAACTTGTTTCCGCCCGACAAAAGACTTTTAAGAACTTTTGACAGGCGCCCCAAGAAACGCTCAGGTAATGACTGCTTCATGTCAGCATCGTTGATGCCTAATACCTGTTACATACCTAAATATTTATAGGTTTCGTTTACGGAGAGAGATCTAAGGTGAACTGAATCCGAGAGTTGTATACCCACGGATTCCACTACCTGACCACGCTTTACATGCGTGACTGCACATTTGTCCACACCAAATTCCATTCTGATAGCATTACTGAAATCTTCAGTGACTTTCAGTAAGGCTGTCAAATGAGAACTGCTGTGGGCAAACAGTTTCAGGTCATCCATGTATAGCATGTGTGATATTACTTGACCATTTCTCCCTAAACGATAGACTAAACCTGAACCCTCGAGTATGATGGACTCAGGCCGTCGGCGTCGCCCTGGAAGATGCCTCGCTCTATTTTTATAGGATCGCCGTTACCCAGAGTCCGTCGAGATTCTGGATAGAATAGGACCGCATTGTTATTATTTAATAGATTTGTGCGTTTGCCAAAACGATGATAAATAATATCGTCTTTCATAAAAAATCATAAATCACTCATCACTTCATAAAAAAAATATAAAAACCAGAGCTGTACGAATAAATAATACCTACCTACCACTTATTTTGATGTAAGGTTTTAATAATACAAGCTTTAAGTTTAAGTATTTAATGACATTTAGTTGTTGACTACCAAAAAGACGTCACAATCATGGCGGATGTGGCGGCAGCGTTTTTAGTGTTTAAAAAGTATAGACCAAAAAAAAGATTTTTTAAATTAAATTTCTACAGCAATTTTCTGCTTTTATGAAGTGAAATCGATATATTTAGGTTCCTTAGTCCAAATACTTTAAGAAATAAACATTTATTTAATACAAATCGACATGAGTCAACTAGCCTATTGAGCGAACGAGAAAAATGGCTCATGAGTAGTGTTGCCAGGTGTTCCGATTTGCGCGGGACGTCCCGATTTTCAGGGTCTGGGGACGCGTCCCTGATCGTACCTGATCAGAATGCTAAATGTCCCGATTACTCAAAAAATGAAAAAATTCAAAAGTAAACGCAGTAAATTAAACCCAGACTAGAGCCTAGAAACACTAAGAAACATACCCATGCACACACACTACACCTACACGCTCATACAATTTCACACACACATACACTCACACCCACATTTACACTTACGTAGGCATAAACACCTAACTTCTAAACTAATTAGATCTTTGTCATAGTTTGTTGGAATTTATTGGAATGTTATACTATCTATTTTAATGAAGAGTAGTATCTCCTGACACAGGCTATTTAAGCTTAAAAGGAGATGCTGGTCATTAGTTTAAGATCAAATTATTGTTCAAGCCAATAAAAAATATTATTATTATGTCGGTACGCTTTTCAGCCATGGGTCCATGGGGACCCGGTCCTTTGAGGCGTTCACGGGGCCAAAGCCAACATGAAGAGGCCTTTTAGTACCTTTTCCTAAAAAGTAAGATGGCTGCAACTATGGAGGTCTATCCCTTAATGTACCATAATGGGGTTATGGAGTGAGATACGAACATCTACCTAAAAATCTCTCACAACAATTTTACCATGGTAGATGGTGACTTGCTACTCGTTGGCTATACAGCCTGTGGGCACCCTAAGTAGCCACGAAGATGCGGCCAGGGCGCAACACAATGTGAGCAGCTGAGGGTTTCTCCATCACGGGGCTTACCCCCGAGAGCAGGTTTTCCCGTTATTACGCCATTACGTGCAATACTCTTCCACCCTGGAGCGTATGCTCTGCTCTTGCGACTCCAGTCAGGCCGGCCGGTTAAGGCAAGACAGGCGGGGGTGTGTAACTGTGTGTATGTGTGTGTCTTAGCGCATGTGTGTATGATCCCCCTGGAAGTATAGTACGTGGTGTCGCCACTCACCAACAGCTCGCCACAAGCTGCCCTGCGTTGACTGACTTCACTGGGAACCAGTGGGCGATGGGGTCGTCATGTCCCGACGCCATTATTATTATAGACTTAAAACCCCTTGTTTCTTGTTTACTGTCCTGATCTGCAACCCTAAATCCCGTTTTTTTGACTTCATGTACCGCTTTAAAACAAATCGGACCTGGCAACACTACTCATGAGTCATGCATGTTTCATGGCTCGATTAATAAATGGCACTATTAGTAGTTGATAATGAGCCTGAATCTGGAAAATTTTAAGTTTAGAGAAATAAACTTGTCAACAACCTCTTCTTTTATTTATTAGAGCATAACAAGGAACAAACAGTCATAGCAAATTAAATGTAAGTTTAAGAGAAACCTGCCAAAGTCGGGACCAGTCCAGTATTCGATTTTCTGATAATTTTCCTACTAGATTTAAGTATATATTATTATATTATATTATATTATATTATATTATATTATATTATATTATATTATAGTATATATTTCGACATAGTTATCTCTAGAGATTTTCAGTAAGAAAACGTAATAAATAAGAATATTTGACATCTACCGAGATTTCGTGGTATTCCTAGAGATTTTGTAAAATCACTGTTTTCCTTCTATTCCTGCAACTAAACAACTCGCTCAATCAAACTTACGTGAGAACTTTGTTTAAATTAATTCGAATGGCTAACCATTTATAAAAAAGCAAAAAAATACGATTTCGCTTACTAAGATGAGAAATAAACTTTGTAATACCGACAAAACAAAGTAAAAAAGTAACATTCCTTAGGCTAAATGAATTAAGTTAACTTTGCTTTTACAATAGGAGAATTTACAAAAAAAATTACAGGCATGGACGAACAATTTCCGCTCAGGCTGCGTTCAATCAAAGACTTTATATAATACCTATAAAGAGTCTTTGCGTTCAATACCTACGTAAAGTCAAAGAGCGGAAAATTTAAAAATTCTGTAGCTGTAAACACTAATTTAGATACTTAAAATTGGTGTCGATTCTGGCACTATTCTCTAAATCTAAACTTAAATTTGACAACAGTGTATCCTTATCATTCTCCATACAGAATGAAAAGGAGAAACTGATGTTAAATTTAGTTTTAAGTTTAGAGAATCACGCCAGAATCGATACCATTAACAGATTTATTAAACATCATAACCCTCATTAAAAAAAAGTGGGAGGTACTCAATACGGCTATATAGGTATTTTTATATTTGTTAAGTACCTCATAACTCTAAAATTTGCAGACTGTATTTGATAAAAATGATTTTAATAAATAACATAAGTACTAAACTTGACAACAATTAAATATTAACAGAATCCCTTTTTTCAAAATATTTTGTTTCGGATTTTCACTAATTTGTATTAAAATTGAGATTTTAATGAGTGAGCCTTTTGAATTATAATTTAAGATTGTTTTGTTGAGATAATTTGACCCATGTTACAAAATTGGGCAGAAATCGAAGGTCTCTTTTGACATAAAGTTTCATTCATTTTAATTTTAATGTCAAAATTTAAACGTCAGGGTAAAAAGTTGCACTCAGAGTGTAGGTTTGGAACACAGCGCAGTGAACCTTCCTTGAACGTACTTTAAACACAGAGCTGAGTAAAGTCCTTTTCGTGTTGTCCAGGATATAGGATAGCGCTATATACGTTAAGGAGATTGAGATACATATCTTTAAATTAGTGTAATACACGTGTATGTTGGACAGCGCTATTTATACACGTTGTGTATAGATAGCGCTGCCCACATGGTGAATCCAGTAAAATGGACAATACATAGAGCACTTTATATTAATAATAACACTGTTTTTTATATACTTATAAAACACTCAAGTTCATTTTACTTTGCCAGATAGTCAGATACAATACAAAGAGGGGCAATAGGCCCTTTGTCTAGAACTTAAATTTAACTTACTAGTCTAAAAAATAAAAAACAAACGTGAGCGTTTTGGAACACTATTTGGATCCATATATTCGATCGAAGTTAAAAAACGTCGTGTCGTGACTCAATTTTAAACAGGGCGTGAACGCATCGATATGAACACGTGTGACAACTTAAAAATAAAAATTATACATTGTACCAACATCGAAAAGAGTAATGTCATGTGTAGAGAGGGTATTGCTTGCTTGGCTTGCTTGCTTGCTTGCTTTCTTTCTTTGCTTGTACGCGCGTTGTCGTCGGTCAATTGGATTGTTTATAAATGAAAGAAACACTTAGCCGCATGACATTCTTATTTGAAAAATAAAGTGTAGTGCTCGCAAGTAATACAAGGAAACCATAAAAACTGTGCCAACCAATCTTGAATGTTCAGAAATATGTGAAAGTGACAGTCGGAAATCGACTTTGTTTTTTGCTGGAATAAAATGTTATTTTGCATTTGTTCAAATACCGCCGAATATTAAAGTATTGTGAACATTAGAAATGTTACGGTCGCGGTATCTTCCACGCATAGAGGACACTTGATCGCGGACACTATGTTCGATGCGGGATAGACGTGGTATACAGCGTTACCATCAGCTTTAATTCGACTATAATGCAACACGGGTGTTTGCCGGACGGGGCCAGGAGCAGGTACGAGAAGCGTAAGCCAACCAAAGTGCTGAAGATAGCGGAAAGCTTCACGAATTTGGATGAGACTGCGAAGGCTGGTCGCTACGTGCGAGGGCCTCACCATTCAAAGAATGGCAGGAGGTATCGAGACGGGTTCGACAGCGGCAGCAGGACTAAACTGGGAGTGTGTTGTGATGATGATGATGATTGTGATAAGGAGTCCAGTGTTAGTGAGGAATCTGAGAGACACGGTGATAAAAGAGTAACAGGATCATCATGCACAGCCTTGCGGACTGCGGTTGCTGCTCTGTATCCCTTCGATGACTTCACATTGGAGAAGATTGGTGAAGGATTCTTCTCCGAAGTTTTCAAAGTAAGTGTTTCATTTGACTATTTACAATTTAAATTCCAATTCGCCTCTTATATGAAGACAATTAATTAATGTTTTATTTATTATTGTGTTGTAAAATTCTGTAGTGATTTTACAGAGCAAACTCATATACAAGAACAATTTCTATATTATTCTACACAAGCTAAACAAAATAAATAGTAATGGTTTCTGATGACACATAAGGAATACCTAACAGTGTTCCAGGCTGACTGTCATCAATATCCCGTATTAATGTTTTCTCAATCTCATAGACATGATAGTTACAGTATAAACTATTTCATGGTACAGCAAAGAAATTTGATAGAGGGAGCTAAAGTAACAAAACTCATAATTTCACTTCATTAAACATGTTATCTGCAATTAAGATTTATTGTGAAACTTAACAATTAATTCTGTGTATTACCTATATTTTGCTTGCATTACATTGTTTAGAATTCTTATTAACTTATTGTCTTGTACTTATGTATATCGAAGTTTTACGGGTTATATCTTTAATGCTCATTTGCATGACCTTGAAACCGGGCATGCAACAATAACATGGCATCAGTAATTTATTGAAATGGAGAGCACTTATCATAAAGATGTTATACAATTTTTTTCCACTTTTGATGTTGCTACATTATAAGCATTAAATATTTTGTTTTTAAAAAGTTAACTCGTTTTTTGAGTTGTGTCTGGTAGATCTGAACATAAAAAAAATCCAATTACCTAATTAGTTACCAAATGACATATTTTCAAAATTTATTATCCCAAATTATTTCTAGACTATTTTCTGAAAATTATGATATATCATCGTTTTCTTACCATCTACCAACTTCTTAGTCAGTGTAGCTAAATTTGTTTGCTGTGAAGGTTTTTGTTAACACAAGTGATACTTCAAAAGGAAACCATATTTATATACTGACGTCATTGTTCTATGGCAAAGGAATTTTCTTTGCATTTCTAAATAGTTTATTCTTTTGTTCATTTTTAATAAGATATTAAATTATATTAATTATATCCAAACATTGTCGAGTAAATTTACATGTCAGTTATTTAAGTAATGAAATTACTTAATCCATAGATTCTCTGTGCTGAGCTATGTCTATATCATTATGCTATAGGAAGAGCATAGAACTGTTGTCGGTCTTGTTTGTGGTATAAGTTCCAAAGATAAATTCCTCATCAGCGTAATAAAATTCTTTCAGCTAAGAAAATATTTTATAGAATTTCCATGATGAATGAATCTTACAAGTACACACTGGCAATATTCTTAAGCAACAACTAATACCAATTATTTTTCTTTTGTATTGTTAACAACAATATTAAAGAAAATGAACGCAAGATATTTGAAAACTTTCGGGGTCAGAAGTAACAAAATGAAAACGTAAGCAATAGCGTTAGCCATAGCAATTCTATGAGGCGATTGACCCCCTTGTTTGTAGCAATTTTCCATACAAAAATGTGTTTATTTGTTTATTTGTCTGATTTTTCTCAAGAAGTTTGCTGCTACCTATAATGTGTATGACAAGCGTTTTAAAATAGCTTCTCTAGGTTAGTTATTTCATGCAATAAAAGTAGAACCTTTTTAATACATATTTTTTTTGAAAAGCATTGTTAATTGGGCAGGAATCAGATAAACAAGCATTTATGTTGGCATATGATTTTAAACTAGTGACCAGCCCTTGCTTTGGTTGGTTTAGGGTATTGTTTTTTAGGCATACTAAATAAACCTTTTGTAAAAAAATATAATATCATTCCTATGTGTTTGATAATAAAATTGCCAATTTAGGTCAGGATTAAATATTTAGTGTTTTATGATAAAAAAGCCAAAATAGGGAAAAAAAATATTGAAAGAACATGCACTTACTAAATATAGTCGGAAACATATTCCATATTGATGTTCCGCTGTTCTATTAATAAAATATAATAAGTGAATTTATCCTACCACCTCTATTTATAAAAGTTAGATTGGGTATAATAGGTAGGAATAATGTTTTGTGTTACAATAATTTCATTGCTAATATACTTTTGCATCACTTCTGACCATTTTCTGATACATTACCCAGACTTTATCCTTAAGGTTCTATAACTGAACTGATCTAAAAATCTTCTGACTCTTACAGATCTAAGTTCTATAACTGATACACATTTTACTGCGTGAAAATAAACTGCAGGGAACATCAAGCCGGCCAAGCTAGTAATAAATATGCCAAAAAACAAATTATTTTGCTCATTAAAACTAATAAATATAATCCCTGAATAATATTACAAATTAAAAGCCTTAAAACCTTAAAATAATACATGTAACACCATGTTACATAACCTGAGTTACAGGTTTATTTATGCTAATATTAAATAACCGACATTCAAAGGTTAACATAAAACAAGAAATAAAGGATATCCAATTTAGCTTTTCCGAGATCAGCTTTTGCTGTAACAGGTGTTACAGTAATTTGCTCAACAAGAACTCTGAAAAACTACAGTTGAAAGATCTTGAGATGCATCAGTATCTCATAAAAACACTGAAACACTTTGGTACAACAAAATAAATAAATAACGAAGTAATCTGTTCTTCTTTTGTATATGAGGAGCTGGAACAAAACGGTATAATTATGCAGATGCATACAAACAAGTCAAACTACTCTTTTTTTTTACAGTCTAGAGATTCGGGCCCATTGAATTTCAAAAAAAATTATTCAATCAAAACGACCTAAAGCATTGTTAAAATTAATAAATTTATAAATTAAAAAGCACATGAACGCACTCGAGGTATGTCATTCAATTTTATACAGTTCCTGAAAATTTTAATTTTATGTACTTATACCATTGTCACCAGCTCCTCATATGTACTTTTATAAATTAACGGTCAGTCAATCTGTCTATCAATTTGTGATCAGGTCAATTTGTTAAATTGTGACAATTGTATCAAGTTGTTTATCAACTTTATGTTGATTTTTGTGTATGCTTATAATTGGCCTGCATATTAGCAAAATTGTACAATAATCCTAATCAATCATTAATGTATGAATATGTGTGAGTGTGACTGTTAGCATGCCTAAATAAATAAATAAACTTTCAATTTCAAATTATTTTAAAGTTTTCATTGTTATTTATTCAGAAAGTAAAAACACCAACAAGACAAAACATTTCGGTGTTACTTTACCTATTAGAAAAATGAATAAAACTAAACTTTATATTAATTTGAGCTATAGATTGATTAAATATTCACCAATTTTAAAAACTGGCAAAAGTCCCGTTCTACCTGGAGTGACCCCTTATCGGCTCTGTATAAATAATTATAAATATATGTATTATAAGTCAGCTATTTGTATGATTTTTTTGCAATGAAGTTTAAATAAACATAAATAAATAAAGCCAACAACATTGACAAATGTACATTCATTATGAGAATTTTCAAATAATTTTTATTTTTGCACTACCTGTGCTGAAACCAGAAATAAACTAAGTTTAAATATCCTTTTTTAAAAGGAGATTTAGAACAAACATAAGAAATGCCTGTACAATTGTTGTAAACACTGTCAGTTTCATTGAAATAATAATACAAACTCTATTGTGTTTTATAATTTATGTCAGAGATGCTCAATTAGGTAATCTGGAATCCTATATCAGGACAGGTGTTTAGCATTATAAATGAATTGTAGTTCCTAAAAGTCATGAATGATTTATTTCCTCTTCAAAGACATGTCATGTGGAGGAAATGTCCCTAGGAAATGTACTGGGATTAAGAGCCTATTGTTGTTGAAGGTTAGATGTTTCGACGTTGGCCATAATCGTCTTGTTGCTTGAGGTTGAACTGAACATGCATCAAATTTTTGCCCTATATATTTTCCTGCTTGATAGTGGTTCCTACTTTTATTGAACTTATGTGAACGGGCCTTGGTGAATGTAACCTATATCAAATGCTGAAACTTTAAACCTCGGTAAAAAGGAGATTTTATACCCACATGAAATTTCAATTGGGTACTTTTGAAAGTACCTTTACAAGTGTCCTTGAATAAACTTTTTATCAAGCATGACCGTTATGGGTCATCAATCACACGGCGTCAAGTTGAGAGAAAGATTAAAAGTTTTTACGCACCAGCAAAAAGTTAGCACGCGTCAGCCTATTAAAGGAAGACATTTATTTTATTCATCCATGTAATTACATAATAGTGGCCTGTTTAAAATCACTTTGTTCGTTTTTCTTCATCATCTCAATGAAATTACTATATAAGAGCAATGTACTAGATAGAATTTCGGGAACTCCATAGCGCGTTCGACTGCGATCGTTGAAACCTTCGAAGTGGTCGGTTATATGGGTGAACAAAAATTTATTCTAAGAGCTCCTTCTTGCTTCCGAAAGCACGTTAAGGCGTTGGTCTCGGCTGTATTTGCAATCGTTAGGAGCCATCGATCTGCTCTAGGCCCTCGTGGTGGGTCTTATTCCAAACAACATTACTGGCTGGCTACGTTGTCACCGTCTAACTGTGGCCACAATTCCAGGGGGCCATTCGCCTAACCGAAATGCTTTGCAAAACGCTAACGCTTTCGATTTAATTTTGTTATTTCTGACCGCCGAAGGTTTTCAAATACCTCACGCTCATTTTTTTAATATTGTTATTACCAATGCAAAAGAAAAAAAAAGAGCGCGAGGCATTTGAAAACCTCAGGCGGGTAGAAATAACAAAATGAAATCGTAAGCGTTTTCCAAAGCATTTCCGTTAGGCGAATGGCCCCCTGGTATTAGTTTTAGGTTCAAATTTAAGGTTTCCGCATTTAGTCCTTAAAATGGACTCTTGTGCGTGAGCCATGGCGGCCGATTATTCCAGTCAGCCCACCTGCCTCCAAAAGCAGATCAGTCTAGTCCAAGTCCAAGAGCTGCCCCGCGGATCTGGGTGACACCAGTGGCACATGTACCACCGTTTCCTCTGTCTCCATGCATGCTCTGCATAAGGGAAGGTCAGTGATACCTCGTATAAAAAAATTAAAAAATAAAGGAC